CAAATAAAGTTCAAATTCCATGAGAAAGTGGCCAAATTTCCTCTAAGGTAACTTCTCTCCTCCACAATCTCCCTCTACCCATCATTCCTTCAACCTGATATGTCCTCCACCTCACTGGAACCCAAAATGTATAAATTAATAGCTGATAGCACCTCCACCACGCTGCATTCTACACCAACTTTTCACCTCCCCCGCACACTACCTCACAGCGCTTTATTTATACTACGTTACGGCACTTACCACATTTTACAGGATGGTATGATTAATTATAAATCTCTATCTCTACAGCTGGGATATAAATGAATGAGGAAATCAATAGNTATTTATACTACGTTACGGCACTTACCACATTTTACAGGATGGTATGATTAATTATAAATCTCTACAGCTGGGATATAAATGAATGAGGAAATCAATAGACAGTATATAAAGCAACTTTGAAAGAAAGAAGTTGATTCAAAATCTGAATGATTAAAGTTTTATACCAGTTCAAAGATTACTAGGTGACTAAGACTTCTGCTACACGTATGCCCTATAGAAACAAGGATAAGCCACAGCAACTCTTGGGAGGATTCCTTTAAATCTTTTATTTTATCAAAAGCTTTTTCTAAACGTGACAAGTAACACAGTATGGGTGGGCCTGGAGAGTATTATGCTAAGTGAAACAGGCCAGTCAGAGAAAGACAAGTACCATATGATTTCACTCATATGTGGAATCTAATGAACAAAATAAACAAACAAAATAGAAAAGACATAGATACAGAGAACAGACTGACAGCTGTCAGAGGGGAGAGGGCTTGGAGGGCTGTGTAAAAAAGATAAAGGGATTAAGCAAAAAACACAAACAACAACAAAAACTCATGCACACAGAGAACAGTATGGTGAGTACCAGAGGAAGAGGGTATAGCAAGGGGAGGTAGGAGAGGGTGCAGGGGGATACACGGTGATGGAAGGAGGCTTGACTTGGGGTGGTGAGCACACAGTACAATACACAGATGGTATATTATAGACCTGTACAGCTGAAACCTATATAATTTTATTAACCAATGTCACCCCAATAAATTCAATAAAAATGTTTTTAAAGAAAGAATAAAAATGCTAAAAGTGGCAAGTAGCAAACTGTGGGATCACTTCATTTATTTAAGAGAAATTCAAAACCTGATTCAGTACTAAACAAAACTGACCACATGCTTAGCATCTATCTAGGCCTACTTGGGCCCATGATTCTGCTAACACAGAATAACTTCACTAAGGAAATAAAATAAGTGAAGAATTATTTAAATATATGGTACTTCTTGTCCCAAGGGACCAAGGAAGATGATATTCTCAAACTCAACAAATAGTTGTATATAATCCAAGCTTCTTTGACTGACAAACTGTAAAATATATTATGGTCACAATGAAATTATAAAGAGAGAGAATGAGTTATTTTCCAAGCTTGACAAATGTACTGAGGGTAAAAGGTGCAAAAGGCTGTTTGGCATCACCTTTTAAAGGCTTTTAAAACTCTTTCAGTAATGTAATTTCGAATAAATGACAAGGACAGTAAGACAAAAATGCAGGCAGGTACTCAATGTGCTCTGCTCTTTGCCATCAATTAATTACTTCTTAATTTCCTGAGCTGCCACACATGCTCAGTACATTTAGTATCTATTAGATAGAAAATTGTTTCCTCCGTTTTTCATCACCTGGCTAAGGCGCTTGTGAAAATCATGCTCAAGAACCTCACATTAATAAATTATCATTCCTACAGTACTGATTAGCAATCATTTCCTTATCTTCGCCTCCGCATTCCTAACGAGCGTACAATAATGCTGTGTAAGGCGGTGGCCAGCAGAATCCAGACCGACAACGGTCTGGGCAGTGGCCAGAAAACAAGGGGGTCGTGCTCTACTTTGCTGCCACTGTACTTTGTATGAGTCTGCACAACAGCCCTTTCCACACTGCATGGCAATTATGCATTTTTATGCCTGGTTCTGCTGCTGGTCTCTGAATTCCTTGATAGGTCACGGGCAGAGTTACATCTTTTCTAGCTTTGAATTCCCAGTAATAAGCACTTAGTAGGAACACAGTAGGCCCTCAATAAGTGTTTATTAAGTGTTGAAGAAACCCCACCTCTACAATAGCTTTGGAAGGCACTCCACATTTTGGGGGTATCTGAACCTAGATGTGTATTCATGAGTAATTTAGTTCTCTCACTATATCAAATAGACATGAACTGACTTGAAAGAGTTTAGAGTCAGCTACTGACAACATAGAACTAAGGTCAAAAAATTTGAGATGCTTTGGGATATGCTGCTAATTCTTTTTCTCAGTAAATTTGCTATGCTAATTGTATGCACCTGAAGTTTTGTTACAAAACACTTGACATCTTATAAGGAACACAACTGAGCAATTCCTCCCTCCTACTCTCAGTGACCTTGCATAGAAAGCTTTTCTTCTGAAAACAAAACAATTAGTTGGAACTAGAATCTCAGTTGACCATTTTAAATTCTAGAGGCCAGGGAAAACTACACACTTATTGGACGCTTCATATCCCCTGTAAAATAAGTTATTATATTTTGTATGTAGGTGAGACAGACTGAACTGAAATTTACACTTCTAAGATCTGCCCTTAAAGAGGCTTCATTAAAAAAAAAAAAAAAATGCTAGCTAAACACTTAACCCTGCCTTTTACATAACTACCAGTTAAACCTGAAATTATGATTTTCTGTTATTCACAAGCTAAACTCATACTATTGCAGTTACTTTACAAAACAGTTAGGTGACGTGTCAAGGGATTAACTTTTGGATTAATAATAAAGTTCCTGATGTAATTACTAGGACAATGTTGAGATTATGAACCACTTCCTTCATCACTGACAAAGAAAGAAGAAAAAATAAACACACGTGGGGAGTGCTTCTGTATCACACAATTAAAAACAATACATTTTCAATTAGTAATTATCAATGCCTTTTTATTACTGTGTAATAGAATAGTAACAAACATACTGAACTCTTTTATAATGATTTACGTAATTTCCCTCCACAAAGCCCACCAATGCATTCATAAGTGAACAGAACAATTTTCTTCACTGATCGGTAATGAAGACAAATGGGGTAAAATTATACAATGCACTTTTGCCAACACCCGCACCCACATTCCACTAAGTAGAGACTTGAGATAATAGATTTCCTTATAAGTTTCTCAAATGAAGAGGCTAAACCCCAATCCACAAAAGGGTTAATAAAATAGATAATGGCAGAAGCTTAACTATCAAATATCTACCTACTTTACCATAACCAATGGTGAAATAATTAAAAGTGGACAAAACTTATGTTAACAATCAATTATAGACCAAAATTATGCATATATTTTCTAATATTTCAAAAGGAATAACTTTATATTAACTATAGCTCACCACTTCCTTACATAAATCTTTTTCATTAGATGTTCTGTACAAATTCTGACCACTCAAAGAAGGGGGTGGAGTGGGAGGAGCAGCTAGCTCCCTGGCAGAACCTGACCCTTTTATGCGCACTCATATAACAGATAAGTTAGAGAAAAACCTTGCATTCCTTCTCTTAGGCCCAAATAGTGATTTAGGCAATGAGTGACCTCCAATTGCATACTCTTTAGAAAAGCAAAGACAGCTAGTATTGTGCCTGCCAAATACTTGCAATTTTTCTAACTGCATACTCCTCATTCTTAAGTATCCAATTCGAAAATCAAAACCTGACCTCAAGCAGCAAGTTGCAGTTCTGACACTATGACATCATTCTGTCTGGAGCACTTTAGTATCACAATCTGAATAAATTGGCAGAAGCTTAAATAGGTCACAGTGAAGCCCAAAACTGAGGATACTTATCTGGCAAAAATATTCTGGCCCTGCATCTAGCACCACCAGCCACAGAATGACAGGCCTATCATTCATCTAACCATCTGTACTTTCCATAAGGATAAATGAAAATAAAGTCAATTTTATCACTTTCCTGTATTTTCTAATACCACTGACAGTGGCTTTTTGTGGCAAATATTTGCACACAGTTACAAACCACAGTAAAGATGACTGATACCATCTGATTTCATGGAGGCTTTAGCATATTCCTACAAAGGAATACTTTTTACACCTCTAGCTCTGCAATTATAAAGATATCAAAAACCCTGAACCAAGTAAATTTATAATTAGTCCTGAATATCTATGAAATAAAACCATAAGGTGCTAAAACATTTAGCAACATGTTAGGGGACAGTACTACTACTTCAAAAGCAAGAACTATTAATTCTGGTCCTGACATCTAGCTTGATTTCTTCTTGTGAAATTGTAGTTCATCTGAAAGCAACATGCAGAAACCACAGTGGTTTCTGATACTCTCAGCCCCACACCTCCATCACAAATTTTCCTTTCACGATAAACAATGTGCAATCAAAAAGGTTTCCTGTTTCAAAATGGAATAGATGAAAGAAACTATAACTCTACCATTAACAACAACAAAAAAAAGTTTCTTAATGAAGATGAAGTCTCAAAGATGAAAATGGAAACTCTCTCAAATACTGCTTCCTCACTTAAGGACTAATCTGCTTTTTCCCCGGTAAATATTCTCAGCTTCATACATTGTGGTTGTTATGAGTGGTCCATGAAAGAGTTCTTAAATTACTTGTTTGCACTCTTTTGTTATCTGATAGCAACATAACTTCACATCAGACAGAACAAACACTTCCAAAGTACTCTATGGCCATGCACCAATAAAGAGCAGCCAACAGTAAAAACTTTGCATATCTGAGTCATATAGAGGAACTTTGAACCTTGAAGAGTAGGACAAAAGGTAAAAAAAACAAAACAAGTCTGCTCTGAATCCAACTTTTCAAAACACAGAGTGGATATAAGAAAAATAAAAGTAGTCAATCCAAATCAAAAGATTGTTGCCATAACAATAATTATTAATTAGCAGCATAAAACTGAAGAAACCATATCCAGGGTGACTAGGAATAAGTACCCGCACAATCAGACAGAACTTACCACTTTGTCCATGAGTTTCCAAGTTTTCTCCACAGTTCTGCGATCCGCTGCTGCTTGCTTAGGGGGTCCCACTGCATCTTGAATAGCATCAATAATGCCTAAAATTCTTCCTTTTCGGGGGTTTCCTCCTCGACCACCAGGGTTTCTGCCATTCATAGAATTTGCCATCTGGAATCTTAGTTCTTTGAGAGGAAAATTTTTAAAAAAGCAAAGTTAGTTGGTCATGAAAATACCCAACAGAAAGCTGACCTGGTTAACTTGAACCCACTACATGCTCCTCCATCAAGGAAAACAAAATCCAGGGGGCCAGATCCCACTTTTCAAGAGCCTGTGAACTCGCACCCTCAGTTTCTACACACCACAGGTTTGGGAGCGATGACCTTAGGTTTGCTTTTGGCACACTGAGAGTTAAAGATGCACCCTTCTCACATTTCAAGTGGGGAAGTGTCGATTAATACCCGAGTCACAACCACCAAAAACTTGCCTAGGTTTCCTCCAACTAGTTAAGGACATAATGTTCTTCACTCCCCCCCTCCCTGCCTGGATTCCAACTCAAAATACTAGAACTGAAGCCCCTGGAAACAGTTTGGAGCGCCTCGCTCCACGGGCGCCCTTTCCCTCCGCGGGCTTTCGCCAAGTTATATAAACGTAAAGCTCGCTCCTCGGGAGCGCGAGGGGCAGGCGCGTCTGCGGCCAACAAAGGCTCCGCGCGTGGACCTTCCGCGCTGCAGCCGCCAAGCGCCGACACGGGAACCTGGACCCACGAACGCACAACCCTTTAAAGCAACGCGGCCCCAAGTTAAGAGCCAAAA